AAAAAAAAAAATTTTGAATTTACTTACTTGTAGCCGGAGTTAGAGGCGGTCGGATACTTATGACCGCTACTGTAAATTAATAAATAATTATCTTATATTCACTATTAAATTTATTATTAGAATTAATTTCAGTTAATTTCTAAAATATTAATTATATAAAAATATAATATATATTAATAAATAAATACTTCTTATTTATTATTAAATTTATTATTTAAAGAAGATTCTTTCTATTAATAAAATATAACTAAAAAATAAAAATCATTGTTAAATCTAGAATAATCTTAACTAACTAAAAAATATTGCTAAAGCCAATCATCATTGACTTAATTATTAAGCAAATAGATATCTAAACATCATACTGCATAGAAATATATAGTATTATGCTAACACTTTAGATTAATTAATAATAAATTAATCAAACTTATTATGTTTAATATATAATTATTTCATATTACTACATCTGTAGAATTAAATAAGATCAATATTTAAATTTTTGTTTTATTTATTAATTCATATATTAAATAAATTTTATTTATTATAATTTTAATAGTTTTTTGTTATATTAAAATCTAATATATTTAATATACCAAAATATTTTTTGTATGAATTTTTAATTTCTTTTTCATGATAAATCTACTTTTGCATTATAATTAAATAATGATTCAGAATTTATATATTTTATAGATTTAGCTTTAAATTACTTTAAAATAAATTATAATATAATATTAAAATTAAGTAAAAAATAATTAATTATTATAATTATTAATTTTATTAGTAGTATAATTAAAAATTCAATACTTAAATTATTATTATTTTTATTTTTTACTTTAGAAAAAAAATCTGAAAAAACTGAATTATTTTTAGAACAAGAGTTCAAAAAATTTAAATTACTTTTAAAAGAATTATTTGTATTATTCATATCAAATTTATTATTTTTTAAAAGATAATTAAAACATAAATTGAAAATAATTAATAATTTTTTTTTTAAAAAAAAATAATTTAATATTAAAATAATTTACATTAAGTATTATATAAGCTAGCTTGATTGAATTTACTATTAATTTAAGCTAAATTACTTTATTTTAGTTCAATTTAGCTTAACTTAAACAATCACTTGATAATTAGAATTAAGCTAAACTGACTCATTTAGCTTATATTTTTTTTTAAAATAAAATTCTATTGAGAAAATCATTTTCAATTAAAAGAAATATTTTTAGAATATTTCTTTTAAAAAAAATATTTCTAAATAATTTTTTATGAGAGAAATATTATCAAAATAATTCCTTTTAAGCAAAATATTTTCAAAATGATTTCTTTTAAGAGAAACATTTTCAGAATAATTCTTATTAAGAGAATGTTTTAGAATAATTCTTTTTAAAAAAAAATGTTTTCAAAGATGTTTTTTTAAAATAATTTTAAGCAATTTTTTTGAAAAAAATTGTTTCTGTAGCTTTTTCTTTAAAAGATTTGCAATTGGAGATATTTTTTTTGATAAAATCACTTCAAAAGATATTATTTTTGAAGAAAATTACTTCAAAAGTGAAATCCTTTAAGAAAAATGTTCTGAAAGTAAATTTTTTAAAAAAAATATTCTGAAAACATACTCTAAAATAAAAATTCTTTAAAAAAATTATTTTAGAAGTAAAATTCTTTAAAGATAATACTTTAGGAGTAAATTTTTTTAAAGAAATTTAACTTTAAATATATTTTTTTAAAAAAATGCCATTTAGTGTATTTTTTTAAAATGAATATATTTTCTTTAAGAAAATGTTACTAAGTGTATTTTCTTCAAAAAAATATTATTAATAAATTTTTTAAGAAAATAGGGCAGCTTTTCTTCAAAAAAATAACTTTAGATTTGTTTTCTTCAAAGAAGAAAATGCAAATTAATAAGTTAAGTTACTGTATATTACAAGTTGAACTATAGCATAAACCAGCTTATTTAGCTTGCAGTTTATTTTATAGTTTTTTAAGTTAAATTTAAAATGAACTAGTTCATTTAGTTTATAAGCAGCTTATCTTATATAAAGTTTTAATTTATATTATAATCAAATTTATTTTTTTAAAAAAGTAATGCTATTGTATTTATATTGTTATTAATATTATTTTATTAAAAAACTTTATTTTTTTTAATAATTAATTTAAAAATCTTTTATTATTATTATATTAAATTAATTATATAATAGTATAATAGATATTATATAAATAATATATATTAGTTTATTATAATTTATACTATTACAAGATTTTCAATATTGATATAAAATAAATATTTAGTTGACAATTTACTTATTTGATTATATAAATTTGTCATCATTGTTTGATCTAATATTTATTAAAGTTTGTAATATGAATAATTCAACTTAAGATCATTAGTTTCTAAAAAATAAACTAATCAAATAGTAAAAGAAATATTAAATTATCCTTTTATATAAATAAAAATTATCAAAATTTAGATATATAAAATAAATATTCTTATATTTTTTCATATTATTTGATATATCTCTAAAATATTCACAATATTACTAGTATAAAGAATTATTTCAGATTGATCAATTTTATTAATTACAGTTTCTATCAAAAGTAATAGTAGTAGAAACATTATTTGTTATTTAGACTGTAGCATTTCTATTATTCTGATTTGATTTATTATTTATTAGATCAAATTGGATAATAAAATATTTATAAAAATAAACAATAAAAAAAATAAATTAAATCTTTTAAATATTTTTATTACTTACTTAAATTATAATATTATTAATATCTATTAAAATAAATTGTAAAGTAAAAATTATTTGAGACAAAAATATATATAGTGCAAGGAAAATTTCTACTTGAATTAGAGTTACCTTACACTTTTATAAAAGATATATTATTTTTTTTACAAATAATAATAATATTTCTAAAAATTTATTAATCTAGCTAATCATAAAAATTAATATGTTTCAAATCATTACCTTATTAAAAGATAACATCTAAAATATTTATATCATATTATTCTAAGTTTCTTTCAAAAATGCTATTACATCATAATAATTATTAAGAATAATTATTTTACTATAATAGGAAAATGAAAGATTATATTTAAAGAAAGGATTTAAATCTAAAGATTAATAAAGCAATTATCTGACAAGAACTTTATCATCTAAATTATATAGCAGTTCTTTTCTAAAAAGTTTCTCAATTGACTCAAAAAATAAAAGATGATAGGCAGATAACCATTTGTATTATGATTAGAAAAAAGTAGTTTTTTCTGATAAGACTACGATTTAAATATTTTGTAATACTATTTTAATATAATCTAAAGATAAGAATCCTATTTATCTTATAGGTTAAATATTCTTTTAAGATATATATTTAGGCTTTGATCAATATTAAAAGAAAGGTTAACATGTACATATTTACTAAAAATCTTAATCATTAATTGTATTATCAAATTCTTGATAATTATTTTTATAATAATACAAATGAATTACTAGGTTACTTTAGCAAGATAATAATCTGAAATATACTTTTAAAAATATTACTGATTAAGAAATTGCAAAAATCAGGTTAAAATCAGCCTAAAATTGGTAAATCATCAAAATCAACCTAGCTAATTGATATATATCAAGAATCAGTCAAAAATTAGCCAAAATTTGACCTATTCTATTTATAACTAATTAGTATATTTATATTCATTGATATACATTAAAAATCAGTTAAAATCAAATCTATTTTATTTTTAATTTACATTTGATTAACATACAGTATATTGAAAATCAGCTAAAATATATTAAAATAAAATAAAATTCAAAAGAAAATATAACTAATATTTTATAGGATTAATAACTAAATTAATACTCTGAATAGTTTAGTTTAGTTTGGATGGTTACGGTACATTTTGCCAAAACCTGTTCCTCAGAAACCCCCTTCACTGAAGATGATTCACTGAAAGGATATTTCGCTAAACGTTCACTTTACTGAATGTCCATTTCATCAGATGGACTTTTTACCAAAAGTCTATTTCACTGAAAAGACACTTCGTCGAATGTCTATTTTGCTGAAAGGACACTTTGCTGAATGTCCATTTCGCCGAATAGACTTTTCACTGAATTCATTTTGCCAAATAAAAGCATTACCAAATCCATTTTACTGGAGGACATTTCGCTGAAAATGATTTCTGTGTAATATTTGTTTAAGCTAATTTCATAAGTCATGGGACAGCAGATCATAACTGAAAAAATATATAAAGATTTGAAAAAGATAACCACTTTTTATATGAGTAAAAAAAATTATGTCTCTATATTCAGAACACTGATCTGAATGTAGCGATAATGATTTCTTCAAATTTTAGGTCTAAAGTCTGTACTTTTGTTGAAATAAAAAAGATTAGAATATTTTTTTTATTATTCAAACTAAATTTATGAGAAATTAAAGAGTTCACTTCAGATCTATCACTAATATTTATTAACTACACATAAAAAATTTTTTTATCAATATTTATTAGTCAAAAGCTACACTTTACGTTTTATAACAAATGGCCTACTATCTATTGCCTTTACAAATTATATATAATTTTGAGATTTATAAAGCAATATTATGAGCAATGCCTTTTAAAAAGCCCATAAGATCATTATTATCATGATCATTAAAAACTGTTAAAATTTGATTTTCATGATTAATATATTAATTACGTTGACGTGGCTGAAATGCTTCAAGTTAATATTTTCTATTTGTATTTCTGTTTGCTGCTGTTCTTTTTGCAACTCTTCTATAATTGTATAGACTCTAATATATGCTTTGCCAATTAAGTTACTCCATCTATTATGCTATTCTTCAATAATATTTGAGTTCTAGGATAGTCAAGTTCAACAAGATCATCTATAGAACAGATTTCTGATAAAAATAGTGGGGTGAATGATGGGTAGATCTATTTCTAAGATTTTTTTTAGCTCTTCTGCATATATAGTTTTGTTTAAAATACTTAATAATACTCGCAGAATTTTCAGGTATTATGTGTTTAACTTGATCAAACGCAGCTAGTATTTCTTCAGGTGATAAAAAAGCAAGTATCATAATATAATGCAAATTGATGCTGAAATTCTGATTGTTACCATATTCAGTTGCCAATTCTTTTGCTTGTATTTTTCTCCATAAATTCTGACACAAATGAAAAGAACAATACTTGTGAACAGAGTCTGACAATTCAGATCAGGTTGAATTTATTACAGTCTGTTCAAAGTCAGTGATAATTACATTTGGTAATAAATCATAACTGGCTTGTTCACCTAAAACTACAATTTCTTCAAATAATCTTTTATATATTTCCTCAGATCTACTTGTCATTAACACATAGACCATTAGAAAAATATGAGAATTTTCATCTTTGCCTACTGATGCATGAATTAAGTATAATTGGTAGAATAATAATGGTACTATTTTGAATATACTATCCATTAGCCAGTAACTGGCCTTATATAGATGTTTAAGATTAGAATTTATGCAAAATATTAGCATTTTTTCATCTTCTAACTCTATTTCCTTTGCTAAAAATTGATTCCCACTTATAGTTTTACGCAAGTAGTCAGAAATATTAATATCTTATAAAGTTTGTGATTGTAGTAGCATGTTCACACTTCTAATACAGTGAATTTATTTACGGATTGCTCCTGTATTAGGTATAAAGTGAGAGGATTCTTGAGACATATTGGTCATTGCATGTTGGATTATTTGCACTGGCTGATTTAATCTATTGGATGCTACTTCCTTTATATTATTAAGAGTTTGAATCACTTCTGTACAGCTTGCATTGGATGTATGGTTATGATCATTAAATTTTTTTAATACATACTCTTCATTTTCTAAATCTGTTATTGCTCTTCTTTTGCAATTAAAAACATCTTTAAATTCACAGCACCAATAGTATCTTCTATTAATACTCTTATCTTTAACTAATAGGTATCCTCTCACAATTAATTTGGGCTGGCCGCATATTAAATTTACTAGATTACAGACTTCTTTATTCATCTTAAAAAAGAATAGGAAAAATAGAAGAAAAAAATAAACTGTTTACGAAATGGAATTTTCACTCTTATAAAGAAAAAATTTTTAAAAATTTTTTCAATTTACATTATTTGCTATCTATTGTTTTTATGATTGATTAAATCTTTTTTTTTAATAATCTAATACTGCTTGATTTCTATTTTTTCAGCGAAATATCCTTTTGATGAAATGGATTTAGAGAAGTATCCATTCAGTAAAATGGATTTGGCAAAACGTCATTTTGGCGAAGCATTCACTCAGTGAAATATTTATTCAGTAAAATTTCTTTTTAGTGAAAAGTCTATTCGGCAAAATGGACATTCAGTAAAGTGAACATTTGGCGAAATGTCTTTTCAGTAAATCAGCTTCAGTAAAGTGGGTTTTGATGAAACAGTTTTGGTAAAACGTCTAGATATCAGTTTGAATTATATATTTAGAATAATAATTTTATCATTCTAAATGAATAATATTCTTATTATTCAATTATAATGATATAATTTAAATCATTCTAATCAAATGATATTTTTATTATTTTTTTAGAATAATATTTTATCATTATAATTAAACAATCAAAGAATTATTTAATTAGAATAATAATTTTATCATTCTTTTATCAAATTAATCTGAAAATTTCTTATAATTTAACATTTTTTACTAAAATAGAATTATTTATAAGGACAATTTATTGATATTGTTATAATAAATTATTTTGATAAATTATATTTAATTTACATTAAATCTTATATTAATTTAATATATATTCAGTATATTAATTGAGCTTATTTCTGATATATATAGGAATATTTATATAATTTAAAAAATAAAAACCATTTAAAGTCTAGAGCAAAATTTTTTATTTAAAATTAATAAATATAAATAAATTAATTTTATTTTTATTATTTTATTTTTATTTTATTATTTTTTGTTTCTTTTTTTATTTACTAGTCTTATTATATATGTAATGTGATAAATAGAAATACTCACATGTTTATAAATTTTTTTACACTTTTTCTTAAAAATATAATGTTCTATACTTCATTCCAGATAATAAGCTTAATTTTTCACTTTTAAAAATAATTTCAATTCAAACTTTATCTTTTACAATTAAATTTTATTTTTTTCAAATTTTTGTTTTTTTAAATGTTAACAAAATGTTAACAAAAAATTATCCTTAGAATAAGAAAAATTCAAATTAAATTTTATTAATTAATCAATTAACTTTTTAAATAATAAACTGATTTTTTTACTTCTATAATAAAAATAAAACTATAAAATACTCTTCAACTATTAAAATTAGATAAAGAAAAAGCTAAATTTAAATTAAATTTTATAAATCAACCAGTTAACTTTTCAAATAATAAATTGATTTTTTTTATTTTCTATAATAGAAAAAAAATAAATTTAAGCAATTTAATAAGAAAGGGTAAATTTTTATTTTTTATTATTTTATTTATTATTTTTTATATTTTTTAGATGATTTTAAAAGATTTTTGAAAGAGAATTATATTTTTATTATTATATTATTATTTTACATATTTTTTCATTTTTACTTATATTTTTTTAATAAGAAATTAATCAATAAGTTTTAATAATATTTTTATTATATTTTTATGAACTTTTATTAGATTTTTATTATTAATAAAATTTTAATATTTAATAAATGTAATAAATAAAAAATATGGATTTTATATTTTTATTTAATTGAATTGATGTTAAATTAAGGCTAAATTTATAATTATTTAAGTTCTGAATTGATGCTAAATTGATGCTAAATTAAGGCTAATTTTAGGCAAATTTGTGATTGAATTTAAGTTATAAATTGATGCTAAATTGCTATATTTAATTAGTATTGATTATTAATTAATATGTATTTGTACTGATTAGTAAATTAATAATAAATAATATTAAAATTAGTTTAAAATCAACTATTTGAATTCTAGTTGATTCATATTGTTTTGACAGATATAGTCACTATTTGTAAAACTCTCATTTTATGTTTTTAAATATTTTTTTTAATCATCTGTTATCACAGTAAATTTTATTTTTAAGCTATATTATTAAAGTTAAAGTTTATATATAAATAAACTTTTTGATAAAAAGCTTAATCATATTTTTAAAAGCTATAACAAATTAAATATTTTATATATATTAAAAACTTTTTTTTTAAAATCCTAACAATATAAAATAAACTAAAAATCAATTACTAAAACATTTGCTAGTTTAATAAAAACTAAAAATAATTCTATTCTTACTAAAGTATTTTTATTAAATTAGTAAAATTTATTAATTATAATCTTTTTATTAAAAACTCTTCTCTTTTAGTTTTAAATTATGATAAATAAAATCTAATTACTAATAGTCTTGCTAAATATAATTAGAAGTTAAATAAAAAAATATGATCTTATCAATAAATTCTTAATTAATAATAATGATAATCATTTAAGTTATTAATTTTTATTAGTAATAAGATTTTATAATAGTTTTTTTCATTTTATTTCTTAATTTCTTTTTTTAGATCTTAATTATAAAAGTTAAGTTAATGATTTAATTATAAGATACTGATATCTAATAAAGTTAATTTTACTGTATTACAAAGATCAATATTTTTAATATATTTTTCATTTTCATTTTATTTATATTTATTTTATTATTTATTATCTCTAAGTTTAATAGATTAAACATAATTAATAATATTAAAAAATTGTATTTTGAATATTATTATCACAAATAATTTTACTTTTAAGATTACTTTATCATAATTATCAGATATTTCAAATAATGTATTTAGATCTTCTAATGATATTTTTTATAATTTATTTAAAACTTTTAATAATATATTTTAAAATTATACATTTAGAATAGTTAATGATATTTTTGCACAAATAATGTATTGGCTTTTACTTTTTATAAAAACTTGGTTTTTTTAATGTACAGTAACTGCAAAGTGATTATATAGTTATTACCTTATTTAGTAATAGCCTAATATAGCTTAATAAGTATTATACAATTATTGTATTGTAAGAAAGTAAATTATAATTATTTGCATTTTATATTAAAATCAATAAAATAACATTAAGTTGCATAATTAACATAAAGTTTAGATTAATTTATGTAGATTTATAACTGATTAATGATAAAACACTAGGTCTGCAATATATATTTCCTTTAAATTTTATTTTATTTTGAAAAAATGTATGATGTATTTTAAATGCCAATTAAATATAGTATTTCAATCAATTATAAATAAAATAGATTGAATTTAAGTTATTTTTGATAATATACTAACTTTAGGTTGATTTATTATATGTCTGATTTTTTTTTGATTTTGATTAGTAAAATAAATATACTGTATTTTACCAAAATAAGCATATCTTTTTTATTATAGAGGTGCTTATTTTTAGGTAATTCACATAATTTATATAAAGCTGCACTAAATCTTATCTAATAATCATTATATTATCTCAATGCAAAACCCATTTTAAATCTGTTAAAAAAATGCTACAAAAATATAAAAGAATTATTAGAAAGGTTAGAAAAGCTTCATATTCTATTGAAAAGAAAAGGGAAATTATTAATTATATAGAATAATATGATAAATATGCAATAAAAACTACTTTAATCTTAATATTAATATGGTTAGATATTGGATTAGAGCAAGCAAGACCTGGACAACTAAAATAAGTAGCAAAAAAAGAAAATTAGTTCTAGTCAAAAGATTTTATATCCTGAAGCTAAAAAGTTTTTATATAATTAGATTATTAGGTAATAAAAATAAGGATAAGTTGTAAATTACTTAATAATACAAAATAAAATAAAGGAAATTTTAAGTGAATCAAGTATAACAATTATTTATAGATCAATAAATAATTTTAAGACATCATTTAGCTAGTTATATAAATTTTTGAAAAGGTATAGGCTGATATTATACCAACACACAAAAATATCTCAGAAATTTCTAAAAAATACTAAAGAATTATTAAAGAGTTTTAATAGATTTGTTACTTAACTTAGAATAAAAAGTCTTTCAAAATGTACTATATTTATAATATAGCAAGTAATTTTATAGTGTGAAAAAATAGTACATATTCATAAGACTGGAAATGAAAAATATTGATTTACAGTTGTTCTTACATGTGCTATTGGTAAGTTTTTGAAATCTTGTTTTTGTCTGCATATTTTAGTAGTTTCTGCAAATTTTGTAGATTTTTAATCTTACTAAATTTGAATTTATTTAATAAAATGAAACTAAATTACCTTTTATTTGTATATTTAAAAAAAAGAGATTAGCATGTGATAAAAAAGAAAAGTTTCTTCTAGTGTGATAGTTTAGTTCTAAAAGAATGGATAGATAGATGTTAACTTAATAAAGAATTACATTGATTAATTTAATGATAATAGATTTGAGAATCTAACAATGCTAGTATATAACTCATTTAAAGATCACCTAAAAGAATCGGTCAAAGTAAATTTCACAAAAGTAATATTTATTTAGTAGTGATTCTTGGCAGATTAACAAGTATTTGTCAGCTTTTCGATATTGCTATTTAAGGATAACCTTTAAAAAGAGTAGTATTTATGAATGGCAAATAGCAGTATTAGAAATATTGCTAATGGAAATCTTCAGTGTGCTAAAATAAATGATGTATATGGTTGGATTAAGTGAATATGGGAGAAAATTTCTGATGAAATTATTATTGAATCTTTTAAAAAGTGTTATATAACAGATTCACTAGTAAATTCTGATGTAGATAGGGAGGAATCAGAATTTGAGACTAATATATTAGAAGTTGATGAAGAAATAGAATTGGAAATTGATATAATAGAATCAAAAATTGAGGAATTGGTAACAAGTGAAACTGATGACAAAAGTAAATAGTGATAATACTTTTAACAAGATACAATAGCTTATTTCTTTTTTGTAAATATTATTTCACATTTATAATATCTAGTTAGATTTTTACAATAAATTTTACAAATGTGTTTATATTTGGATTCTGTATAAATATGTTTGTGCTTATTTTTGGAATATACTTATTTTGTTTAAATGTATATCTATCTACAGACCCCGCCAAAAGTCTTCAGACACTATCTTTTAGGCTTTTTCGTACTAATTACATCATGTGACTGTAGAAAATTGTGGCTATATAATGTTTCAGCTATTGTTTACTTAAATCAAACCAAATAAATACGTGTTTGGTTTGTTTATTTTGATTTTAGATCAAAATAAAATTTTATCTTTTTAAAACAACGAAAATGTCCAAAGAATTAACTATTGAATAACGTGATGGCATAATTTTTTGCCGTCAATGCAGCGATCATTATTGAACTATTGTCGTGACTATCTATTGAGAATCTATGGGCCGAAGTCAAGAAAAGCATCCGTAAAAGGAAAAAATTGCCTTTCAACCTTGCCCAACTCGATCAACATATTATAAGGGCATAGAAACAAATTCCGATACAAAATATCGAAAATTTGGTTAATAGTATGCCGCAGCAAATTCGGGCTATGATTGAAGCAAATTGAGGTCTGATCAAGTACTAATTATTTATTACTAAATGTGTAGCATATCGTACTTTAATAAATATATTAATAAATATTTTTAATAAAATTTAAAAATTCCAAGTTTTATATTGAGCCAAAAAATGTCCGGAGACTTTTAGCGGGAGATAATAGTATTTGTATAAAAAAATCATTAAATTTGTATCATTTTACAAATTTCCAAAAAAGGAAAAATTGCTTCTTAAGAAAATGGGTTACGGTTATGCAAATAGATTACACGAATTTCCTTTTTGGGAACTTTTGTAAATTCCTGTGATTTGCTCCGTTGCTTTGCCAAATTTAATAAATTTAATAAATTAAGAATTTATTTATTGATAGGAATTGGAGGAACGATTTTAAAAAATATGAATAGCATAGTAAGACTTTTTATATGTGAGGCATAACCAAAAGGTATCTTCTATAAAATTTAATGTTATGTTCTTTATTAGAATTAATTATAAAAATATTTTTTATGAGATTTAAATAATAATATCTATTAAATTAGAAATAGTATAAAAAATCTTATTTAATAAGAATTTCAATTAAAATTTTGCTAATTCTTTTAAAAAAATTGGCATATCGTGATTAGTTAAATTTAATAATTATCAATAGACACGGTTTTTCTCGTAATGCAATCATACATTTTACTCATGTCCATGTTGCAATTAAAAGTACCACACTATATCGGAGCATAGTACGCATGCACCCATATATCATAATCGCCGGGAAGTGGATCATCCCCTTTAAGTTGATGACTCTCCCAATTATATACCCAGCAGACACCATAATTTATTCCAACTCCAAGTTTATCACATGGCTTTGATCAAAGTTTTTTCGGGCAGGATCTTCACTCCTGTAATAAAGTATCTCCTTGATATCATTCGTGTTATTTAGAGGTAATGTGTTGGCTTTCACAAATGTATAAATATCATTTTCGTTATCATTGACTAACACTAATCGTCGTGCCACATTATTGTTAAGAACCGACGTTCCATCTGGATTTTCTTATTTTCATTATTATCATTGGTTAAATTAATATACACATCTGTTTTTTTTTTAGTTGATCCAATTAGCAAAGGCTCAGAAATGTCTTCAGATTTGTTAGAATAATTTGTATACTTTACCTGAACATCTACCCTTGATCTCGCAGACATGCAAAATGAAGATGAAGAGCAAAGCAAAGAAAATGAGCGCATTTTCTTTGAATAACTTCATGATAGCGTATCGAACGAGAGGAATTTATAAACTTTTCAGTTAAGAGGTCGCAATTTAAACTTTTAAAATGATAAAGCCGTTTCAATTTATTGTGAAAGTATTAAACGACTTGCTTATTCAAATAATCGTAAAAGCAAAGGTTTTAATTTTTTTAATTATTAAGTTTTTTAGAGTTATATTTGAATAATAAATACCTTACCAAAAAAAAAAAAACCTCTTTTGAATCAAAATTTTTTTTTTTTTATATACTCTGCAGGTTATTTATAAACAATTGATTTTTTTTTTTTAACTTTTTTATTTGGTTATTTAAATTATTGATAATAGAATATCAACTTCAGATCATTAAATATAAATCCAAAAATAGAATCATGGAAGAGTTTATTGAAGGGTCAACAGTAAGAAATAGAAAGAGTAAATTAAAATATCGAAGATAAAATTCAATTTTTTAAAGTAACAGTAAATATTTACCGAGTACTGTAATAATTTTGTGATTTACTGCGGTGATTCGTGACGTGAGAACGGGAACCTTTTTTTCCCTTTCATATTTTTGCACAACTTTAATCCGTACTTTGTAGAATAACATCTTTGAAATAAATTTATTAAAGCATTAAACACTGCAAAGTGGGTCTTTATTTAGATCAATGAATTTAAAAATTGCGAAAATCAATATCATGCATATTTTTACGTAGCTTCTCTACATACTCTACATTTCAATAGTTACGCAATACAAACGAATATTTCTGGAATGTGCATTATGAGATATTAATGGTGCACCACGCTAATTGACGAAAGTAATGGCGCAGTAATTAATGACAATTTATTTTTCTTGCGATATTAATAATTTCGGATTAATAGTGGGTGTATTGCACCCCAATGCACCATCAATTTTTATATAAATCAGGCCTTAAATATAAGTCTTGATGGACAGAAGTTCATCCACAAAGCTTTTCATTATGAAAGACTTAGGCAAATGAAGTTGATAGAGCTGTTGAATTAAGGGCGAATAATGACCAAATTGCGTGGCCAAGAGATCATGAGAGACTTAATCAATTGTTGATTTTTCGATTCTAACCAAATCTAAAAAGTTGAAAAAATCTGTTGAAATGAAAAAAGTCCCTTCATAAACATTCGAATTGTGGTAAGCCATCATATAATTGAATTAATATAAATCAGCCTTTCAATGAAAAAGAAAAATTTTCATATTGTCTTGATAAACTTAAAAATTAAAGTGGCAAGTGAACGAAAAAGGTACGTTCAGAGTTATTACTCAATAAATTAGAAAGTTCGGAGCAACATAAAACAATACTATATAACTCTGCGTTGTTATTTTAAGAATATTATTGAAAATATTTAATGAGTTGCTTTATTACAACTAAATCAAAGACACAGCATTGCCATTAACATGAATTTTTTTCATGATTAACGACCCAGTTCAAAATTTTTTCAGGAATTCTCATGCACACATAGAAAAGACAAGAAGGTTCGCAATATTATTTTACCATTGTTCTTTTTGTTACAAAATTCAACATTTTCCACATGTAGCTCATCATAACACGAGTTCTACAGGTGTTGCGACTGAAATTGAAGTTGATATTCGAGTGTTTGAAATTGAGATTCCAATTTCAGACACCCTTTTTGTTATCTGAATTCCAACTTCAGACTAGGGATTGGAATCGATTTCGATATTTAGAATCGATTTGAGTATCGATTTAATCGCGATTATCGTTTCTCAAGATTCGACTCTAAGATTTTCGATTAATCGAATATAATCGATCGATTCATCGAGTTAGTAGGTAACCTTAAATAAAGTAAATCCGAAAATAAAAAAAAATAATTAAATATTATGCTGTATAAATGCAAATTAAAAAATATTAAAAAAAAAAAAATAAATATTAGAACCAGCGGTTATAAAAAAGTCGCGGTATTTAAAAATTAATTAAATTTCAAAAGTAGAATTAAAAAAATTAATAAAATTAAAAAAAAACCAAATAAAAAAAATCAAATTTAAAAATTAAAAATTATTAAAATGACTATTTAAAAAGGAAATTTGTGATACCGGTAAAGCCTAAGGGGAAGATAAGTTTCTTTTTTTTTTTCAGGAACGTTCTCGAATTTCCTTCCGGAGCGTCTCATGATGCGTTTTCCGGATGTTGGCGATCCCAAATGATTTTAGAAATGACTAATTATAGAATAGGCTGGTTGTTTGTCATATCTAAAGTATTTTTGTGAAAAGTTGCTATAAATAAATTATATTAATAGTTGTATGAGAAAATTATTCTTTCGAACGGTAATTTTCATGAGACCGTTAACTTTCGAAAATAAAGATCCTTGAAACCCTTGAACTGGCAATTTTATTAAAATTAATTTCTCGTGATTGGATTTACCTCCGGTGCGTTTCTTATGATGAGATTCGCTTCCAGATCATTTCCTTTCGTGAGAGATGTTTCTGGAACGTCATGAAACGTTCCCGAGACGTTTCTCTTTATGAATAATGTCACCAAGAAGGTTTCACTTAAAGAAAAATATTTCCGGAACGTTTCTTATTAAAAAAAAATGCTCCAAAAGAAAATAAAATACATCATATAAAATATAACACGAGACGGTTTGTTGGAAAACAAGTATTGAATTACGTGGTTATTCAATAATGTATTAGGCAAATTTTTACATTTTGTGGTTTTTTTTTTATGTCACATGAATAAATCCAATCGGGGGGGCACGGACAAGAAATTTACCGAATTTGGCAATGTTAAATAACGAGTGAATGGCTCATCTATTTAAAAAATTATGACGTCAATGGCGCGAATATTAACATTTAAGGATATCTGGTGCCATATCAGTCTTTTTTTTTTAAGGGTAAATTGTAGGTGATAAATATTTGTTTTTCGTTTATTAATAGAAGCTTATCGTTATTTCTCAAAATCAAATGTGAACCTCTCTCGAGTCACCTGTGAGAAAAGATTTCCATGAATTTAACAATTTAGTCGTTCATTTGCATAACAATATGTATGTATAATCGGAGTCATCAACCGAGATTTATAATATTGTTTTAGATTTTTATCATAGATAATAGATCTTTTGTTATAGCAGTTACCCCAACCCAATCTTCTTGGCATCCAACCAAACTTCATGAATTAATAGATCTATAAAAGCGAGTCCTTTTAATGAAATAAGTACTTTGAAAAAAAAAAAAAAAAAAAAAAAAAAAATTAAAATTACAATTAAAATCTTTTTTTTTCAAATTTAATATGAAAACATTTATAATTTTGGCATTCTTTGCTTACGTGCTTGTGAACGTCATCGCTGTTTCGGCGGTGTCACCAATTGATGATGACCTAGATGATGATTATGCACTTGAAAAACGAAGCACATGTGTATTTAAGAGAGATGGAGTGACCAAAAGAACGACGGTTAAAAGGTGTCCTTCCACTCTCGCCAATGCGATTTTCGATCCAGAATGGTCTAAAACAGAAAAAGTTTCCGACGGTCCAATTAAAGGTCTTGTGGTCTTTGCTCAAGATGAATGTGGGAGAACTACCGTGACAGGCTATTTCAGTAAAGGTTTCAATTCGACCAAGAAATACAAATACCTAATCATTGACAATTGCGAAGAAGTCGTCTGGGACATGACAAAAGGATTGAACGTAAGGATAACTGATGAAGGTAGTACCAGAGCCTTCAGTCATACATATGATAAAGTGAACCTTGATTGTGATATGAATGGTATTCTTATGAAGGAGGCTGAAAGATCTGAACCCTTATTCAAGCGTACCTGCAAGAATCTATCTAAACGAGCGGGTACCGATAAATATTTCCGGGTTACTGAAAATGGTAATAAAAAAAGTGATGCGAAGCTTCTCAAGCAAAAGAAATAAGAAATTTTTTATTTTTTTATATACATATTTATATGTTCATTCTATTTATAAAGATTTTTTCTTTTATTTCTAACGAATTTATTAAAAATTTACTACAATTTGTATGAATCTTTGTATAATATAAAATTTTGATGTACAGTAGTAAATTTTTTTTTTTTTTAAAATAAAAAAAAAAAAAAAAAGATTTCAATGTTTGTAGAAAATTCCATCCCTGATGATCAAAAAATCATACCTAAATAAATTCCAGGGAGTGATAAAATGGAGGGAAAATTTAATAAATAACAAATTTGTGAATACTATGAAAAATAAAAGATAAACTGTATTTGTCTTTCGACCCCTAATTGGGATCTCATTTAAGTAAAAAAAAAAAATGATTTAAGGTCATTGTTTCACCTAACCCATTTCTTTCATTTCATTTTTCATTTTTTCATTTTTATTTTTATGAACTATTTGATTGGATAAAAAAAACAAATTCAACATCATGAAGTTACTTATTTTTGCAATTTTCTATATCATTTTGTTTGCAATATTACCCGTCAAATCACAAGTACATACCTTTACATATTATGAAAACGCCTCTGATCCCATCATTTTTTCGATGGAAACTTATGATGATAACACGATCGTCATTCATATCATTAATGCAAATTCATCAGACACTTCCGATGATAATGCTGATGATTTGATGTGCGTGAATAGATATTTGTCATTTCGCACAATTTATCCTGACGGAAGCTTTGAATCAGTTAACATTACGTTGGATATACAAGATTTAAATTATTGTATTCGGGTAATAGGTGAAATATATAGCCCTATTAAAATTTATGCTGTTAGAAATAAATTTTTGTTAGTAACATATACCGTAGTTACGGATGTCGATGATCTTACGACTTATGATGAGCGGGCGATGGTGCTTGATTTATCTGGAAATATTTATAGGTTAGAAAAAAAAAATCAGTCTAATATTAAATTTTATATAAAATAATTAAAATTTTTTATATTATTTTTTTTTCATAGTAACGCTTCTCTAGGTTATGCCTATTTTCAACCTGTTACTAATAAGTGGTTGCCTAACTTTGCAAAGATAACGCATAATGTTAATCGAGACAAGGGATTTCTTCGCTTAGGGCATATAGCAAATACTAATAATGCCTTCTGGCAGCAATTCATGATGTAATTGATCACGTGCACATAAATTTCAAATTAATTATGGAAACAAACTTAACTTCGTTTTTTTCTTTTTAAGAACTGATAAAGGAGAAATTCAACTGCTTGCAGAAGGTGTCTTCATGTTTCCAGAAGATTATATGTCTATTATACTTAAAGGCGTCGCAATGATGGACGGAGGGTACGCGGTTATATACGCTAATACTACGAATTCAATAGCCACTCCCAACGATCCAATTCCTCCACACGGTGGAGTCTACGCCAAACTGTTACCATATGGAACAAATACCGATCGACAACCAATCGTTCTTTATCAAACTCAAATTCCAGGATTAAATTTTACCAACTTGGATTGCAGTATTTCTTACGTAGGGGTTGGGCAATCGTGTATATTAACCGGAAAATTTGCATTTCGATCCATAACAAACACATTTTACACTAAAATTGATTTTCTTTCGTCTGGAAATGTATATAATATTCAATCATTAAATGCTACTATTCCTACAAATCCTGGAGTTGATACTTATAACGTTAGATCACTGCCATATGGAGGTTATTTATTAGATGGAAAAGGGGATCAAATTATTTACGGTTACATTTTAAATGACACCCAAGTTTATAATTGGGATTTGGATAATCCTATCGAGGGAAGTATTATGGACGTTAGTGTAATCTTACCAAATAATACTTTTGTATTTGCGCAACTTGAGGAACCTCAAAATTGGAGTTTGAGCTCAATGGATATGCCCAAATTTTCCGGGGATCTAGGTAAATGACACGGAAAATTTAAAGCAAATATTCAAAAAAAATTAAAGCTTAAAATGAATTTTTTTTTTTTTATTATTATATTTTGTAGATCATGGATATGGGAATTTGCATATTAACTACACATTTCCTCTTGTTAACGATATAATTAATGAAAATGAAACAAATATCATAAAGATTAATTATCATAATCCTATTGATTTATCAAATCATAATATCATAATATTTCAAAATGACCGCAATATTGTACGTCAAAACATTTCTGGAAGCGACGCCAAATTTGTATCTCTTGGCGATGATGGAACCACCGTTATTGTTAATATAATCAAAAGTACATTTAATCGGCCTGGTGAAAGATATTACGTTTCAATTGAAAATGATTTTGTAAAGAGTCGGCAATATCAAGAACCAATCATTGGCTTACAAAACAAGGCTTGGTTTTTTACAACACGTAAGTGCTTTGTAAATTCCTCCTCTACTTTTAATTTAATATCTGATAAATGTAATCATTTCCAATTAGAAATGAAGGATGAAAAGAGTTCGGATAAAATTACGGGGAGAGTTCGATTGACTGCGGAAGGAACAGTTGTTTATGAGAGTCTTGATGAAGATGGACGTAAAGATTTTTACGCAAACTTAATGCGGGAATTAGCTTATGCAATCCCCATCAGCCAGAATCGTATAACGACTTATGGAAAATTCGAAACGGATCCCTCGGTTTTTCCAAAACAAATCATTTTATCTATTAATATTGGAAAAGATAAAACCAAGCAAGAAAGAACAGTTAATTTAGCCGTTGAAGATTTAAATACTTTGATTGAAAATAAACCTATCACTCTTATTGGATCCGGTGAATTCTCGAAATATTTGGATCAAGATTATGGATACAAATTTTCTCGTAAGTTATTCACACTTCAAATTGGATGATAAAAAGATAAAATTCCAAAACTTAATATACTAATAAATTTCACCATTTGAACTTGTAAAATAGGCAATCTTCTTAGAGATTATGGATTGACAATAATTGGAGTAATAGCGATCATCTTCGTATTGCTCTCATTTTTCTTTTTAGCTAAACGTCAAAATAGGGAGGTAAGTATCTCGAGTTATAATTATAATTGAAATAAGTATCTCACGGGATTTATATGTTATTAGGCAAAAAATATTGCAATCTTACAACTTGGACTTATCATTTTTGATCTGGTTTTGGATATTTTATTTGCTAGTACAAAATCAATGAACGTTGATGGATTATTTAAACCAAGGTAAGTCAATTTCTCAATTAAATTTATTAACAATTAAAAAAAAAAAAAATATTCATAATATTATTATTTTCTTTAAGTATTGTATTTTTAGTGGTTCCATTTATTATAGGTTCAGTAATGGCATTTAATATTATAAGAGAAGAGGATCGATATGATAATTTCTCAAAGTGGTCAAGCGAAAATACAAAAGTTGTAGCAATATTCACCTTATTAGCGGGAGCCGATATTGAAGCCTTATCCATGCTTGAATCAAATGTAAAAATTTTCGGATTAGATTGTTTTAAAGCTGAATTTTCTAGACGTTCATTGAGGAAGATATTTTTCGGAGCTTGCCTTAATATATTTTCTGAAGAAATTCCTCAAATAATCATGCAGGTATGTAACGTAATTTATTTTTTTTTTTTTTAAAAAGAAAAATCAATCACTAATTATTTTATAAAAAAATTTGATAGATTATATATTTTAAAAACGTAGTACGTTATGATCTTGTACCCATATTAACGTTCTCATCATCATGCATAAACCTCGTCATTAATATTATTGGAAGAGTGTATAAATTTAAAGAACATAAATGGGAAAATACTAATGATGATACTTTATTCGATAATAGTGATCATGATGATGGTTACGATGACGATAGAAATTCTGGTGGATCAAAAGGTAGAGATATAAATAAAAATTCACCTATATTTTTGGAAGAAAAGGAAAAGAATCCTTCTTATCTGGTTTAAACAGACCAGGTTTTATCATAATTTTATTCGATAAAATTTTGTATTATTTATATGTAAATAGCCCATTATAGCTTTTGAATAAAATTAAAAGTTTCTACTGAAAAAGGTTTCCCGTCAATTTTATATAAAAGTATATGACAATAAAACGTCATTTTGATGACCAAAGGCGCAATACCCGTTTGTGTCATTTCAATTTATTGGTCCAATTCCAACTTCTTTGCGTAGTAATCAAAACTTTGCCGAAAAAAAATTTTATAGTTTGATGAATTACAAGTCTTTAACTACAAAAAGTTTAAAAATATTATTATTATTATTATTATTATTATTACGTAATTTATTATTTCATTGAGATAAGGTTGCCGGGCAAAACCCGGAGGTTTCGACAGGCATCGAAATCGAAACCCGTCGAAACGTTTTGCTAAATATTTTTATTAAAGGCAAAATTGTGAAAGTTTCGACGGGTGGCAAATGTTTCGACGGATGGCAAAACCCATCGAAACCTTTTGATATTAAAATACTATTTTTGAATTAAAAAATTTATTATTTTTTTTGTTTTACAAGATGAGAAAATCGTATATAGCAAAGATCACTTTTATAATATCATATATTTATATAAGAAAAAAAAAATCACTTTGAAATTGAATTAATTTATTTTTCATCAAATCCAATTACATCATTTATCTCCCATATTTTCTTCATAAAAACTCATGACAGTACTTATCTTCTTCATCCATTAAACTTTCATTTGAAAAATCATCATCTAGAGGTTGGAACCGGATTCGACATTCGGATTTAAACCCAGATATATCCAGTTTCGGATACAAAATTGGCCCAAAGCCGGGTATATGATATGTTTAAAAAAATTTATTTGATCTGCCACAGTTTTTGAAATAGATATTCAGTTTTAAATCCGGATCCGATTTTTAAAATTAAACCCGGTTCCAGCCTCTATTATCATCTTCTTCATAAGGTAATTTTTTTAATTCTTTAATGAGTACCAGTGCTTCCAAATTTAAAACAACTCGATAGATAATGCATTATTTTGGAAATTTTGATCTACTTTAAAATAAAAAGAAAAAAAAATCGTTTATTCTACATTGTGTGGTACAATAAATCTGTTAAAACCGTCAAATTCGCAAAGTTGGAAAACCATCGAAACCCATCGAAACTGTCGAAATAATTTCTGAAAAGTTTCGACTTTTGCCAAAATGAGTTTAAGGTTTTGCCCCGCAACTATACATTGAGATAAACGTAATGTTATGTAAGCAGGTAGTTTTAATTAAACCCAACGCCTCTCGTGTCGAGTCACGATTCATTGTGGATCATATGTATAGTAACGTGATTTTAATAGACCAACACTTAACGTTAAGGCACGTGAATGTTGCTAAATTTGGATATAGCTAAAAAATATAGTTTTTAATTGTTCTCGTTTTACTTCGACTTTTATCTATCTATGCCACAATTTTTTGCCCAACTAGAGTTCCGAGTAGAACAGGAAAATCAAGAATTACAAATCCAAATCCAGCAGAAACAACAAAATATTAATGAACAATGTTCAGATAAACGAATTGACAAATATAGCCTTTCCCAACAGTCCATATAATTTCCCTAAACTCAAACAAGATATTATCCGACTTAAAGTCCAAGAATTAGCACCGCAAGTAAGAAATGAAAGCACGAAGTTGGTTCAATTAATTACGGAAGCAAAAAAAAAATCGGGCAATTTTTCTTCCATAGTTGACTTAATCCTAGAAACCAAAAAACAAATCGCGCTGAACAGCGAAACTTCCCAGCGAAATAAATTAATTGGCAAAATAGAAGCTTACCAAAGTATTCTTGCTAGTCATATAGTTGATGAAGAGCTGCAAACTCTCTTTGACAAACAAACAGAAGTCCTAAAATTAGAAAAACATTTAGAAAGTTTACAACAGAATATTTGCAGTTACCAAGTTTAAGTCGGTGTAATGGCGTTAAATATGAGTGAAATTCCATCTCAAGAAAATTGAGAGCAATGAGTGTCAGATAATTTCTGTCAGAGAAATAATTGTATGGGACAAGTTTACATGCGTGGATTAATTTGTAAACATTATATTGTTGACTTAAATAAATAAATTATTACTCATACTATCCGATTATTTAATTATTGCACAATATTAGAAGAGAAAAGATATATTTATAATGGTTTGTTCTTTTAATTCTGGCAATTCTATTCGTCTTAATTTTAAAAAAAAATAAAATTATGATTTCTTTGAACTATTTGTTTTTAAGCCAATTCTTTATTATTTTATAAATGAGTCAAGATGTAATTTATCCTTATAAAACGTTTGAACACGAAACTTTTTTTTTTGAGAAGTTCTATTCATTATCAGCACTCAATAATTTAATGGAATAAACCAAAAATACGATGCTTATTAAATTAATTAATGATAATTCCGGAAATATTATATTAGATCAATAATAAAAAAATGATTCTTTTTTTCAGAATTTATAAGTGAGGAAGAACGATCGAATGATTTCTTAAGAGGGAGATGAGATAAGGCGTTTTTATTTTTATTTCTTTTTTAATATAGGTTTAGGGCGCAAAACGATCAAATGATTTCTTTTTTTTTTTTTTCCGCATTTTATGCCTTTTCTTTTTTTTTTTTGGTTCTTTTCAGGTTCATGATGGAGAATCTGATATGATAAGGCTTTTCGTCTTTTGATTAGTTTTAATCGGCATTTTTATTTATTTTTTTTTTTTTACCTTTTAGTAATACGTTATTTTTTTTTAGTTTTCCAATTTGTAATTTTTAATCAATTCATTTTTTCATTTTTTCGGTTTGGGTACTGCGATAAATTTATATTTATCATTATTATTTATTCTAAATTTTATTGGATTCTTTTTTAGATTCGTGGGTCTTCAATATATTATGGTAAACCTTATTTTTTAATTATTTAAACTTATTTTGCTTTTTTTATTGATAATTTCTAATTTTTCTTAGGTTCATTTTTTTGGTTCATTCTATAACAGTAGGCATTTATAAAAAAGTTAAAATTTAAATAAAAAAGATTTAACAGATTTCTAAGCTGCACATACAGTGTGTCTATAATATAAAGAATCGTTTTTGAACCAGTTACAGTGAATTTACCAGCAAATAATAAAAAAAGTGACATTAATAAAAAAAAATTAAGCTCTAGGAGATAAAAAAAAAAAAAAAGTTTTTATTATTTTATTTACTATGCACCTGCGCAAAATACATGGTATAAAAATTTTATAAAGTTTTATTAAAATTTTAACAATGTATATATTTTTTTTTTTGTACGCGTCCCTATTTATATTATAAAATTACATTTCAATCTTTTTTTTTTTGATTTAATTGATGGAACATGTTAAACGATTATATCCAAAATTATTACACATGCTGCATAGTAGTAGTTTTTATCCGTACATCCATTGAATATAATCTAATATAGGCCTTATTTGACATGAAGTAGGGTCTGAATGCTCATTTAAATAGAGTAGCGATATAAATTATAGGATTTGGATTTTTTTTTTTTTTTTTTTTTTTTTTTTTTTTTTTGATAGGTTGGGAGAGATTAACATGCTTTTTACAGTTGGTTCATTGTGTCTTTGATGGTTTATTTTTAGCTTTTTTTTTCTTGATGCTATTGTCTACTTTCTCCTTATACCTTCAACCTTCCTTTACGAAAGCATTGTTGATGTGCAGTCTTTTAGGTAAGGAAAGTTAACCAAATTTTTAGTTTAAAGTCAAAGAATTCATCATCACTAGAACTTATGCGTGAGTATGGGAAATTATAGTTTATTAAATAAATAAATGAAATTATTTTTAATTCACATGCATATTAAAAATTGTATGCACCCGCACAGATTCAGTTTCCCTTTAAAAAAAAAAAATTAAAAATTATTTTCTTTAATTGTCTGACGGATGGATATATAAAATTGTTTACTTGCGCATTTCCCAACCTATTATAGTTTTATACGACAAAATTCTATATTTATACGTGAATTCATCATTCCAATATTATTCTAAATTAGGCAATATTTGAATGCAATACCTATAAATTTTCACAACAAATTTGTTCCCCTTTTCTAAACAAATCCTTCCATCTCACTATTTAAGTTCAAATCCTTCAAACTTTGACTTTTATCTATTCAAGGTCAAGTTCTTACAAGGTTCTAAAATTAAGATTGTAAACGATTAACAATTTATAGAATTAACATGTTAATATAAATAAGGAGTTAGGACATTTAGATTTATCAGATGATCTTAATTCAACCAAAGCATTGGAATCAATTCCCGATTAAAAACTTGCTCATTACTTGGATGAGCCTCTATGGTACCGGCATTGATAAATTTTCTTTTTTGACTGACACAGACAGTAATTTGGCCTCGAGCAAGAGATATTAACAGTTTTCTAACTAAACTAGAGAATTATTCTTGCAAGTAGTTTATCCGAAGAAGAGCTGCAAACACTTTTAAACAAACCAAATAAGTCCTATAATGAGAAAAACATTTAGAAGTTTACAACAGAATATGTTTAAGAATTTATTATACAACCCTAACAAATCAGTCATGTCAAAAAAAAATTGAGAGCTGTGGAGTCAGAAACTATCGGGGAAATAGTTGTCTGGTAAAAATCTATTTGCGTATTAATACAATTTCGTACAAGTTGTTAAATGCATTTGAAGAGAAAAGATATATAATGCTTGGTTCTTTAATCCTAACAAATTCCATGAAAATTAATTTAAAATGAAACCTTAAAAAAATAAAATTATGATTTGTCTTTTAAGCTATTTTCTTTAAACTTTAGCATTTATAAATGAGATCAATTCATTTATTTACTCCTACAGAACATTTTATAAGTTGTTATAAAAACGAAATTTTATTATTCGATGTAAACCGCGGTTTGACTCATTCAAATTTATTTTATCTTGATATCCTCAAATTTTGTTATCATTCGGAAATTCAACCGCTACAAAGTCGCCTATACTTTCATGCAACGCTTGGAATATTTATTTTTTATATTTTTGAGGTGATAAAATTGGAGACATTGCTGAAATTCATCTTTGTGGTATATAATTTACTCTATTTTTACTCAATTAAAACCTTCTTCTTACATTTAAAGTTGTTTATAAATACATAAACGAAAGATCTGAATACAACAATATATTATTCTTTTCTTTAATAAAAACCAAATGATTCATTTATTAAAATGCTAAATTACTTTTACATTATTTCCTATTAATATTAAGATATTTAAAATATACAATTTAAAATGAATATAAATGTCAAAGTTTCAAATTAATGTAAAATTGTGTGATGTAAGTGAATATAGAAATAATGGAGGGGTAATGAAGTGTAAGGTGAAAATGTTGTGGTTTGAAATAAAGCGAAAGTTAGGATTATTGTGAATAGCTGGTAATGATACTTCTCGAAAATGCCGAAATTTGATTTTTGAAAAAAGTTAAAAGACTTATGATGAAATTGGTTAAATTCCGGATAAAGATAAGCTATTAAAATCACGAACCATGTGATTTACTATATTCGTAACTCGATTTTAATAGCTAACCTCACATATAGGTTCGACAAATGAAGTAGGGTTAGCTTTCGTTTAAACCTCAAATCCGGGAACAGCTACAGTGGCGATCATAAATTATGCAACAAAAAAAAAAATTTCATTAAAACGAAATATTTTTTGTAATTACGGAAATAATTAAATTTTTTTTTTATTATTTTAATTAATAATATTATAATTTCCTAAAACTAAAATTTAAACATGAATTAATAAGTAAATTA